TCTCAGCCCTCATACTGTAAATTTTTGAACACACTGACTGGATATGATACTTTCAGCAACTCACCACTGTAAACATATAATCCCATTCTTATTTCTGGAATGGAGAAGGAAGGCAGGAATACCAATTCTGCAACAGAATAATTAGTTTTACACAGCACTTGACTCATTGGAATAATAAAAAGGATGCATTATTGGACAAAATGAAGGTAGTTACTGTTGGGTGAAACTCATTTGTGGTGTTTCTTTACCTTTTTTTGAACCCAATGAAACATATTTGCTGTGTTGTTATTCAAGTCATTGGGTTTGTTGAGACAGAAGGTGAGTGTGTTTTCTTTTTTCTTCTCTTTCTTCCACTCTCCGCAAGTTGAGCGGCTGTGTTTGGGTTGAACTGCTGTACTGAAGGTCATTATCAGCATTTTTCCTGGAACAAATAACTGATTTTCTGGTCTCTTTAAAATTAACGTTCAAGCCCTGAAAGTGTGTTTGCTTTTTTCTATACATGAATACATTTAATAGCTTATTTCTATGGTCAGGCAGTAACGTCGATCAAACAACATGACTAATTCTGATATCCAACATGTAATTGAAGCCTAACAATCAACCCAGTCTAATCCTCTAAATGGCAACATTTCCAGTTATATTGGCCATGTGTGTGATTTGTGTTTGTGATTTTTATATTTAACCACACTGGTTGATTTGTTAACTGATCTGAGCTCATTATATCATATCATACTCAAACTGTATTCTGTCAGTGAGTTTTACTTGCATTACCAGAAATACAGATGCCTGGCGCTCATTGTCCAAGGTTCTGAATTAACTACTAAAATACATCAAGTTCTGTTCTTTGTCTGCTTGTTGGTAAAATACAACTTTATCAGCTTTACCGTTATCTGAAACAAGTTTTGGAGTGTTAAGTGGAAAAGCTACAGGAGGTGTTTGAACACACAGTAAAAACATTTTATAAAAGATATACAGATTTTGCAAGAAAGCGCTATAAACCTTTATCTTCTTAGTTTGTTCTCAAACAGCAACCAGCTTCTTTGAATAAAGCTATAACACAGATGCAGAACCTGGTAAGAGAGTCATGTCACAGAGTAATGATCAGTAATTCTTAATATTCTGAATGAATAGCTTAAAGTGCTATTAATAGCATATGGGATGCCATTTATATTAATCAAAGAGAAATATAGCTTCATCAAGAATACCACTGATGCAAACAGTATTTCATTTGAAATACAGACTAAAGATCTCAATCTTTATTTCTACTGGCCTCACTCCAACTGCTGCCTACTATAAACCTGAGTCCAGACCATATCAATCTAGCCACACAATCAGAGAGCACAGAATGGCCCATAGTTACAAATAGATTAACTGAGATGCATTGCAGACAAACTAGGACTTCACAGAATGAAAACCTGTGTGCAATGTGAGCTCTCTGTCCTGTGAAGTGAGAAGTACAGTTTTTATTGGAACAGGATGTGGTACAGAAACCTGTTCCAGATTCTGAAGCAGAGTTTGACCTCTGTGTCTTGTCTGTCTGCAACAAGCAGCAGGTGACTGAAGTTGTTTATTATTGATGTTGTTGCACAGAAAAGTAGGTTATTAAAGGAAGTTTCACTGTCCTGAAGTGTTTGTTGCTTTATTTATTTTTTATTGTGGAGAACTTTATGACTTTTTGCCTAACTGTGTCTGCAGTAATCTCACATGTACCGGCTTTCACCTCTCATACCTTATTTGCAAGGTGAGGTGGGCGTGTGTGTCCTTTAAGTCCACCCATCCATCCCTCCATCAGGAGTCTTGACAAGGTCCATGTATCACTTAGCCCTGGGCTGTCAGGCCTTTCCTATAAACCACCGCTGCCTGTAAGATTAATGGCTGTCTTAATCTCACACTTAGAGACTGCTAATAGCTGGACCTGCAGGCAGACAGACAGACCTCTCCTGCACTCCACAGGAAAAGATATCCTCACTTATTGTGTATATTTTATCATTTGTTCAGCTACCTTTGTAAAATTTAGCCAGTGGCGAACTCAGGCTGTTTGAGCTGCAAGGGCAAAACAAATAAAGAAAGGCACCATCTGCGTGCGGTGGGGCACCAGTGTGCAGAAAGTCATGATGTATTTTATTATTATTTAATTTATTTTAAATAATTTCAAATGACACGCAATTTGCAAAAAAATATAACGTAAAAACTATACTATATGATAAGACTTTCACTCTTATTGCACCAATGGGCCATATACCGAACATATACCCTAGCATAAATCTTACTCCCTTTTTGGTAATGGCGTATTTACAAGATTCTGGCAACTTGTCTGTGATGTTCCCTCCGCTGCCTGGCAAGGTAACAATTGAGTCCACAGATTTAGAGTTAGAGAGTTGTTTTGTACAAAGTCGACAGAAGCATGCTGCTTCTCAGATGTTTTGGTGTCACGATTGTCCACTCAGGACAGCTTTGCTGCTCTATGCTTTGCTCGCTAGTGTCATCGACTTTCATAGTAAACAACATGACATTACTAGCTTAGTTTACTGACAGGTCAATAGGGTATGCCATCGATCTGATAGCGGAGTGTCCTCTGCTGGATCACAAGGGAAACTACTTTGCATTCTGGACTGTAAGTTTTGAATTCGAACAGGTCACTTCAAGAATGAACCACATCCGCACAAATTTAAAATAAAAAGTGACAGCCCTACTGGAAGGGCACACATTAGGGAACTGCATCACATTTTCTCCACTGGAAGGGCACTATAGAAGGCATTGGATCACTTATCAGTGTTTTGGGGTTCTTTATTGTCTGCTCATGACAAACACACAACTCTTGTCTCTCAGGTTGTCTCATAATTGTATACAGATATTTATGTCTTGGTATGTACAACTGTGGGTGTTTTGCACACTTTCAGCCCCTGTAACTCAGAGGTTTTTAGTCCTGTTCCTCTAAGTTTCCTGTAACAAAGGTCATTCTGTTTTTGTGTTTATCTGTTAGACATCTGTTGCAAACATCTGTTCAGGACCTCAGATTAATTTATCTACATTTAATAAATTATGAGCAAAGCTAGTGAACAGGTTTGCCGTGGGCTTGACACTGACACAGTGTGATCCTGACACTGGTTTGAATCCTTGAAATAACATTAAGGGGATGAATAAATGAGTCTCAGCAGCTATTGGCAACGTGTCCTTTGGCAGTGGGTTGTGACAAGTAACATAGTTACATTTAAACATAATGTTAATGCACCTTTTAGTAACAAATTGAAATTGAAATTCTATAATTTGAATGAAACATTCATCAATGTGTTAGGGTTAGCCAACCCAAAAATAACTCCTTACTCTTAACTCCATTAGATAGCATAGATAGATCAATGAGAAGAACATGCATTTTACTTTTCTCATCATTTACAGAGATCATTTTACATAACATTTTTATGATGTTCATAGAAAAGTAATCTAATGATTTGGGTATTATGTGCAATACGGTAACAGTAACACACTAAGATAAGGAGAAACCAGGCATGGGAGATCTACACAGTAGTGAATGGACTGAGACTTTGGTGGTGCAGGTAAAGCAGGTGAGTGACTGTGTACAACCAGGTCCCGCTTGAATACTGCCATGAATAATAATGTCTTCTCAGTCATTTGACAGTAATTACATAAATGAATGCTTATTAGCCAATTCCTAGTTTATGAGTGTGCATGCAATGAGTTCATTAAGTCTCCCATAAGGAATTTATGGAGGGAGAGCTGCCACTTAATGGTTGAATAAGGACCTATTAAGTGTGTTTAGAATGCCTTGTGGATTATACTTGCTGTTATAAACCATAATATGTCCCAAGTATATGAGCATCAATTACTAAGACATAAATGAGGATGATCATTTTGTCATTTCAAGTTGCTCTTTCTTTCTCTTCCTGTTTTCTGCCTGAGCAAGCTCAGACGACAGTCGATTCGGTGCAGACACGCAGTATTGTGCGTGTCCTCATGTTACAAAGAGTTGAGGAGACAGCACCACATTCTCTGCATGGTGTCAGATACTGATTCTAACAAAAAGGCATGCACATGATGTAAGGCTGCTTGCCTGCCATTCAAATGCACCTTGATGAGTTGTCTTACATTTTCCACAATGTTTCGATTTGGTCTTTGCAGCACTAGTCAGTCATGTTGGCTGAGCTGCCTAATCAAGTGTCTCAATAGCACTTTTCTTTAAGACAAGATGACAGTAGCTATTTTCTGCTTCCTCTAACAGAAACTCTTTTATCACATTATGCAGAGAGATAGCTGTCTGACTCATTTGTTGCACTTTGTCTGGGTCCAAGGTTTGTGAATATATGTAGTGGGGGAGCAAAAGAGAGGGATTCTTTGTTTTGCTCTTCAGATTTGTGTTTTTCTTTCAAAAACATCCTCAGTCCTCTTTTGTTAACCCCCTCCATATACTAATTACCATAAATGCAAGCCTATAAAAAACGTGTCAGCTTGAGTTCTTCAGGTTTAGCAGAATTAATGAATAACAATTATGTAATCGTGATGTCCAAAGCATGAGCATAAAGCCACATTTTAAACAGAAAAGAAGATACTTGACCGCAGCCTTGATTTCTTTTTTTTAATGTTTTTATGTACCTCAAATTTGTGCTACAGTACTTGAGTAAATATACTTAGTTGCATTCTACCACTGTGTAATCGTAATTTATTGGTAACCTTTTATCTGAAGGTATCAGTGGTGAAATGCTCCGTTACTGACTGGACCAAATCTGATATTGATGATAAGAAAGAGTTAATCCTAGTGACCTGATAGTAAATGTGTGTGTGTGTGTGACAGAGAGAGAGAGAGAGAGATAGGGAGAGAGATACGGAGAGAGAGGGAGAGTTCCACTGATGGATCTGAGAATATCTCAAAAGTTCAGACTGCGCTCGAGGCTCGCTGTCTCATGCTGCATGTCATCAGTCTGACAGTTTCTCACTCACACAGAGTGCAAAGGACGGGAAGCGAGAGTGGCACAATGATATGTTTATTGAGAAGCTTTGGATATTAGAAAAGGTGGTGGCTGCTGCTGGAATGTCACAACCATTGACAAAAAACATGGACATGAACTCCCTTATCTAGACAGACACACACACACTCACATACGCACGCGCACACACACACACACACTCTCCCATCATTTCCAAGAGAGAAATAACTTACGGCAATGCACAGGACAAGACGGTAATCACAGTTTCTACAAGCTCATTTCTACATGAAAAATTCACAGTTACACATATATGAGGGAGATTTTCTTCATAGGCACGGCAAAAGCAATAAGATGTGTATCTCAACAACAACAAAATAAATGATAAAAATAAAACATTTTGCACATTTCATAAATCCCCCAAGGGCCCCAGATGAACTGAATGTTTATACTGGATCTGAGGTGGGAACATCCTCGATTTGCAGCCCTGCAAGGACTTGGGTGAAACGTCGCACTCACACCAAAGGAGAAAATGGTATAGAGGGATAGGCAATAAAGGTGAAAGGAGGAATAAATGCGTTTTCTCTTAACTGGACTAATAGCAGAGTAAGCACTCAGTTCATCCGGTCACTCCCTGTATACATCTTTATATTATCTCTCTTTCTATACATATACACATTTAGGACTTGCAGAACTTGGGACTGAAACATTTAATATAAATGTAATCCCAGGTCAGACAGAAGAATGGCTATTAGAACATTGTCAGTCTACATACAGCTCCACTGGTCATTGTCCAGCGGTTACAACGCTTTGAAATAATCAGATACGAGTAAATCACATACAGACAATATCACACACGGTTTACTTGAGCCGTTTTTTGCTCTTTTTATATATTTGCAGTTCATGTTCAGAAAGTTCACTGTGTTGTCCTGTCTGTGTAGCACGCTTCAAGAGTACGCTAAATATATAACAACTAATTCATCGATAATTTAGCGGCCCTCTTCTGCACACCGACACAACAGAAATGCCAAGACAGACCCTGACACTCCTCCTCGCCTTGTCTTTGGAAAACCTTGTGCTCAGATAGGAAAGACAGTCAGTGACGTTCTCTTTCTCAGGTTTTAATACATCTACTGCAGCAGCCGGACTGTGAAAAACACAATAGCTCTCTGACAGGATGTAGCACACACTGTACTGTAGTCTTGTAATTTGTAAATTAGCGCTGCTGAGTAGTAAGCTGGTGTTTTCATTCGTGTGAAGGAAAGCAAGCGCAATTGTTTAATCAGGACTAGGTTGGGTTGTTTGTTATTCTGTTATTTGGTCGGTACCTTACAGTAGCCTCGGGGAACCACACGGTCAAACAAGGAAGCACTGAGGCGATAAACACTTTGTTTCCACGCAGTTTGACAACACGAAGAAGAGGAGATCTCAAAAACTGAGGAATATTGCTGACATTTAGTCACACAACTGCTACACCAGAAAATAAACACCCAAACTTTTAAGGTGTATGCTTTAAATTAGAATTTTAAACATGAATTTAACTTCCTAATAATACACTAATGTTCTGGATTGTGATATTTCATTAAATAAAAGATGAATCAAAGTCCCCAACATACCGAACCCTGACTGGCTTATCCAAACCAGGTAAACCTGCTGGTGGAGTTTTTCTAGTTCAAATAGTGAAAACTGGCCAGATTGGACAGATTCAAGTAACTCTGTAATAGGAGCCAATCCAGTGAAGCTGTGATGTGTTTTTCTGGAGGTTATGCCGCATTCATGTCATATCTAAGTTATTCGTAATTATCATGTTACAACCAGAGTTGTTATAGTTTTTGTATTTTTTGTTTTCATTTTGGTTTACTTTTTATTGTTTAAAAATGTTTTGTATTAAAAAGGTTTAAAAAATTATAATAATGGAGGTATCTGTCAGGGGTTTAGGACATTCAGAATAGGTATTACATTACAAACACAGCACTTTGTCAAGGTAATTCACTCTGAGACTTAGATGTCATGTAGACATCTAAGTCTCAGTATTGCACCAAACAAACCTCTGGCTTGTTGTGTTGACAAACTAAAGACATTTCTTGTATTTTTTTATTTTACTTTAGTTAACTAAAATGTTTTTTTCCCACCTGGTTTAAGTTTTTAGTTGAGTTGTAGTAACTGTAATAACCTTGGTTCCAACTTGTAGAAGTCGTTCACATCAACATCCAGGTACTCCAGTAATTATGACTCGGAAACTAAGATGTTCGACTTTGTGCCTGAAAACTAAAGAAACATAGACGTCAGCAAAAGTCTTTCATTTGAAGTTAATTAAACCCCAATGGATACAGTATTACGTGTTGTCATTTAATAGGACCAACTGTCTTGAGTTGTCAGGTGATGTGAATGCTCACAAGTTGTAAACATGGAAATCTTCTTTCTTGTCAACCAGCCATCCCATATGACATGAATGCTGCATTTGTCTAAACATTAATCCTCCAGAGTTTGCATTTCATCAATGAGCCAACAAGGCCAGTCCCATTTCAAAGACTCCTCCACTAGGCAAACATTTGGACCTAAAATCTGTAGGACAAATCAGGCCCTCAAGATTCAACAATCTATTAAGTGCTGATCGACTGTTCATTGGAGCATTCAGGCAGTCTTTGTCAACTCATAAATGGATGCGATTGTATCATATTTACCAGATGTGTTAAGGTGGACTATCACTGGTAATCATATCACATGGACGAGACCAACAAGAGGTTGTAAATAATGGAAGCCAGGCATGAAATCCACTATTTGCAGCATGGACATGTTATTCACAGGGCATTACAAATAAATGGAAGTAATATGGATGCATTTACCATTAACCTGGTCCACTATTTGCCTGGAGTTCATTGTGGGTTGACGATAAACATCATACTGCAAACTTTGTTGGCTGTTTGATGGCAACATCCTGTAATAGACATGGACATTATCGACTTTACGATTTGACAAGGAATACCCCATTAGTGTTTATCTCTGAGTCTAAACCACTGTCCCATTTAGAGGAGAGGAGCAGGTTGAGCCTCACTCATTGTGGTCCGCATCGTTCAGAGGATCCAGCCCCTGAATTGGGACACATCTGTGGATTTTTGGAAAAAAAAAACTACTTTAACTTGACATTAACCATTCAAAACAACGCACACCAACAATGTCTTCATTAAATGTTTGTTACACGTGTAGACGTTCTGAATTCCTGATATATGGGTAACTTGAAGCTGGTATCTTATTCATTTATACAATTTCTTTCCCTATTCTGAATGTCTGGCTATGTGCTACTGGCTGAATTAGCTACCACAGTGATACTATTGCTTCACATACGGCAGATAATAATGAATGCTGGATGCTCAGAGTCAGTATTCAAAGCAACAATATACACATACAGCCATAGGAATGGCATGTGGGGAAGGATTTTTAGCCAAAACTTTTTAATTTGAGATAAAACTTGTCATCTTCACAGCTAAAATGGTTTATCACAGTGGAGATGGCATTATGGCGCAGTGTGTGTGTGTGTGTGTGTGTTTATGTGTCTGTGTCTGTGTGTGTGCGTGTGTGTGTGTGTGTGTGTTAGTATATTCCTGCATGAGTAACAGACGTGTTTGTTTGCTGTGTGCTTGTTTAGATAAGCCTGTGCCTGGATGTGCTGCTTCCACTGTGTCTGAGTGAGTGTGTGTCAGCTCAGCAGATGGAGTTTGATTCTCACCACTGGGAAATCTCAATCCCACAATGCACTGGGAGCTGCGCCAAATGAGGAAGCAGCAGCAGCAGCAATGAGGAACCAATCACAGCTTGAATACTGAAAAAAAAAGTGCATTCCCTCTCTCTCTTCTGCCCGTTGCTGTTCCTCCAGGACCAGCCATTGTTGTGCTATCCATCAAAACGAATTGGGTCTATAGCATGAGTTAATTCTTAACTTATAAAACACACACGTGTATCACAGACACAGTAAAACCGATTAACACAGATCACAAAGGAAAACGAGGACAGAGTGAAGGTTCCCCATCCTTCCCTCTTTGTTTCTGGGCAGACAAAAGCAAACAAAAACGTCTAGAAATCCTGGCTTCGGAAAATGACAACAGCAAGAAGATTCCCCAGAACAAAACCAGATACATCATCCCTTTTGGGTCTATGTGGGGTAATTATTCCAAATTTAGGCCTACTTTTACATGGGATCTCCTTTTTTCAGTGTCTTCCCAAATCCCCCAATCGGTCCGAAGGAACCCACTCTTTTGTGGGACTGCTGAGCGGTGGAGAGAGAGAGGAAAGAGGGGCTGATCATGTTTTCCCAGCATCATCATGAGAACAGCAGAAAAACACAGCTTATCATACAGTTACCGGCAGTTAACATGAGGAGTCAGTATAGTAACCAGTAAAAGCATGTGAATGTACCAAGAAAAACAAAGTGCCCCCCAGTCAAGCGAGCGGTATGGCAAGACGATCTGAGAAAATCACTGTGATGTGTCAAAGCACACTGATGACATCACATTCCCCTGCCAACGCAAGGTGGGTTCAGATTTAAAAAATCAGATCATTGTTATGGTGCATAAATGTGTGTGTGTGTGTTTTTTTTGTGTGTGTTTGTGTATGTGTGTAAGCTAAGGCTCGACCGACATATGATTTTGAAGCCAGTATACTGCGCCCAAATTCAGCTTTTGATTTGAAATATTTCTATGGCCAAAAAGCATTTCAGTGTTTGCTTAAAATTTTATTTTTTGGATGGAAAAGCCTCTGAAACAGCATTTAGTTCACTGAGGGACTTGAAAGCCAGACTAATGACATTAAGGCAGAGTGAGGCAGGTGTCATTGCAGGTTTTTTTTAACACTAGACTGTGGAACGAAATCTCAGGTTAGCTATAATTAGGGAACAAACTTCATGATATCAGAGCCAGATGACAACCGATATGTTTGTAACTAAAGGCCAATGTCAGCAGTATCTATGCCAGCAAAATCATATATCGATATAACCCTAGAGTTTGTTTGTGTGTCTATATGTGTGCTCGCTCAAAGTGAAAAAAAATTCCATCCCCTGTAGCCCTTCTTTGGCGGGTCTGGAACAAAATATGAGTCACTCCCCAACTAACCAATCACAGTCCAGCAGCGGATTGTGAGATTGTCACCGTAAATCGCTACGAAACACCTCCATGCGAGGTATGGACGGAGAAAAAATACTGAGAAAAAAGGGAGAAGGAGAAGATGGCTGGTTGGCCCAAGTGTTTTTCTTCGAGTTTTAGTGCAGTTAGCCGTCCTTCAGTCCCATGCTAGTGCAGGCCCAGCAACTCGAGGCTGGTTTCCCATAGGCTCAGCTGCAGCTGGGGTTCAAAGGTCGGTGGTGTTGTCATCTCCCTGCGCCCATTGGCCCAGTAGCCTCCTCCACACTCCCCCTCCAGCGCTGGTGAAAGAGCGGCGTACAGCACAGTGGCAGCACCCTCTGCAGGAGTCTGAGGAAAGCACACACACACATATATAAATATATATAAATATATATAAAACTAGGTCATAGCATCTCTTAAACATATATATAAATGTATACATAGAAATAATTATTATTATGTTCTATTTATATAACAATATATACAATAATGCCATCACAACACCCAGAATATGTCATGCACATTCCCATTAAAAGGTCCCATATTTTACATGTTTTCTGTGTTTTATTGGAAGTTTTGATATCCATAAGAACATTTTTATATCTCAGTATAATATAATATATAATGCTTGGCCACATTTCTCATATGTGACTCAGATTTGAGAAAACACCAAACACTGGGGAGGCCTGAGGAGGAGTATTCGTAAGATTTAACCTTAGGCAGGAGAGGGCGCTACCAGTGACATTATGGAAAGATTAAAGGTGTGTGAGGAGAGAATAGAGCTGTTGATAGTGTCACTTTATATTTTTTTCAACATGAATACTGTAACTGATTATTCCCGAGCAAATTGTGAAGTAAAACAAGAACGTGCAATAACAGATGCTCAATAAGAGGAAATTATGTGTCGTGACAGACTACACTGTGATACGATCTTCAGTAGAGATCTGCCTTTGAGTGTTTCCTGTCTGTAACTATCATACGTTTTCATTTCTTCCTCCACAGTGCAGCCAAGTAACCGCAGGGTCGGACACTTTAGAAACACTAACACTGCTGCTATTCCAGTAAAAGCAGTGGTGTTGCATAGCTGCAGTAACACTAGTTTTTATTCCAGTAACAGAAGTACTGTAGACAGGGTTCGAGTTATAATCTGAGCTTTGTGGGAGTCTCGAACATACATTGCAACCAGCCTGAAACATGCCAACTGCCATCACTCAAAGTGAGAACGCACAGTACCCTATGTAGTGCTCCACTGGTGGGAGGATGCATTGGTTTTTGCAAGTCGTAAATCCAATAGAAAGCAAGCGGTCAATACAAAAGAAATAATAGTAATTCAACTGAAAAAAATGCTTTATTTGTGATTAAAATAGTTAAAAATGAAAAACATTGTTTGTAATATATTAGCGGCCCCCATAGATGCTATGAGGCTTCTGATTGGACAATCAACAGAAAGCTATATATTATACACCTTAAGTTAACCTTCTATAGTTGCAGATGTGTTTTTTTATGTCTTTGCTGTATGTTTACTTTATGCTTTGCATTACCTCGGCTGTATATGATGGATACAATTATATGATATAATAGTAAAACAAGAAAACTCAACACGTGTGTCATTTACTGCTACGACTACAAGAAGTCAGTTAGGTAAGTTAGTTAGTATAAAACATAACATAATAAAGTTAGACACTAAGAGATATTTACTGTATCAAAAGTATAAAAATAAGTAAAAATTATTACACTCGATTTAGTTTATTTCAGTATTTCATGTCATGTCCATGTTGAAAAGACAACCAAAGTTGGAAGGTGGTTAAAAGGTAAAAGCAACAAACAGTATATATAGTCACATCTTAACTTAACTAATGTCAGCGAAATGCTAGCAAACTAATCTATATTAATCATTAGCTAGCTGGTTAGCTAGATCATCTACATTCATTCAGTCTTCGGGGGTAGGGGGTAGTTATGGAGAAGGCGAGCAGCATAGTTCTGGGTATAATTGGATTGAGTTATTCAGGACTTTGGATGATGTGCCATGAAAAAATGCCATCGCAGTGGTCAATTCTGGATATGATAAAAGCATTGATCAGGGCGAGAGAGGAGACAGGCAGACACAAGCCATGTTTTTCAGGTGTAAAAAGGCAGCTATGGTGGTCTGTTTGACGTGGTGTTCACAGGAAGGGTTACAGTCAAAAATGACTCCGAGGCTGGCGTTAGTATTTGAGATGTAGAGCTAGACGTCATCGGCGGATAAAGATGAGGACCGAACACCACACACTGGGGACGCCTCAGGAGGAGGTGCAGTTGTTGCCGACCTATTCGTAAGATTTGACCTTAGGCAGGAGAGGGTGCTACCAGTGATATTATGGGAAGATTAAAGGTGTGAGAGAGAGAATAGAGCTGTTGATAGTGTCACTTTATTTTTTCACACATGAATTCTTCACAGCACATTTGCAATGTGAGGTAAAACAAGTGCAATAACAAATTCTCAATAAAGAGGAAACAGAATTAAAAGTGTCATTATGTGACAGACTACATTGTGATACGATCTTCAGTAGAGATCTGCCTATGAGTGTTTCCTGTCTGTAACTTGTATCATACGTTTTCATTTCTTGCTCCTCAGACCACAGTGCAGCCAAGTAACCGCAGAGTCGGACACTTTAGAGACACTAACAATGCTGTTATTCCAGTAAAAGCAGTGGTGTTGCAGTAGCTGCAGTAACACTACTTTTTATTCCAGTAACAGAAGTACTATAGACAATGTTCGAGTTATAATCTGAGCTTTGTGGGAGTCTCGAACATACATTGCAACCAGCCTTGAATATGCCAACTGCCATCACTCAAAGCGAGAACGGACAGTACCCTATGTAGTGCTCCACTGGTTGGAGGATGCATTGGTTTTTGCGAGTCGTAAATCCAATAGAAAACAAGCAGTCAATACAAAATAAATAATAGTAATTCAACTGAAAAATGCATATTTGTGATTAAAATAGTTAAAAAATTAAAAACATTGTTTGTAATATATTATCGGCCCCCATAGATTTATGATTTTACTGCTTTCACAGGAGCTCAGACCCCTTCTTATTGGCTCCCACATACATACAGAAACCCAACTATAGAATGATTGGAGCTTCTGAATAATCTACTCAACACTACCACAAAGGTTGTTAAAACCTGCTTACAGGTAACAACTAACTTAATGTTGTGTAACGTTTGCAAGTTTTCGAAAAAAAAAAACGGATTAGGAAAAGGTACGTAGATTATTTGATTGTTGACTTTTGGTTTCACACGGGACACCAACAACCGACCACCTCAATATGCAGACTTTCTGGCTCTTTATAGTACGTCCCCTGACTTCGACGGCAGGCGAGGGTTACCAACAGCGTACAGCAAACGTGACCAAGTATAAGTATTTGACAACTTGGGAGTAAGAACAGTTGTACAGACACAAGAACACAAAAGAGAATAAAATATTTCCAGAAATGTAGAATGTTGTCTTTAAAAGAAGTAGTGACTGATACAAGGTTTAAAAAGTATTGAATGTTCATGAACTATGTCGCAGTATAAGGATTTATTTCTATATTTTTAAAGAACTCTGAGGTGGATTTATTGTAACAATTATCTTTACTGAAGCGCCTTCACACAGCTATCTGTGGTGAAAGATCATGACTCCACTTTCAGATAAACAGGATGTAAGCCTTTTTTTTCAGTGTCTCTTTGTGGACATGAACAGGTGAACAGCAAAAAAGCAAATATATGACACATGATATTTAAAACAACTGAAAATGAAAAATGAAAACATGCAATCAAATATTAACATATGAATATCAGAACTAAGTTGGATAAAAATATACGTTCTACTCTGCCATGTGCTGTGCTCACACCCCCTCCCGCCCTCACTGTGGTTGATTTAACAGGATGTAGTCTACCACACTTGCTACCAGACGGTCAGTGACGCTTCAACCTGCAGACACAATGAAGGCAACTCTGCTTTTCTTCCGTAAGTAGTAAAAACTTAAAAATAACATTGTTAATTCAGCATTTCAGGCAGTAATAGAGACGTATTTTCATTCAACTTTTTTTTAAACTGACTTACTTAGTAATAAAGGATTACTAGTAACTACCTAGTAGAATGTATCACTTAACGTAATTTAAAAATCTTTAATACTTACTGCTCAATTAGGAACGACGTGCATTGATTCACAGTAAGTGTATGAAGTAATCAT